CTGGGAGTTCTAGTCCCGCCTTCGGCATGAAAGACAGCTGGGTGACTGTAGAGTTGGGTTCACCCAAGCAGTACTGGCATGTTTACTCTCAATAAATCCTTTTCAAGTCTTGGAAGCTTGGCTCGAGACTCAGGATTTCATTGGGGGCAACTCCCGGAATCCCGACACATTCCTTCTGTTTTTTTCCCCCCGTGAAGGAAGCAGCCACCGCAGCTAAGGCCGACCTCTTAAAACGCCAAGAAGAGTTGAATCGGAAAGCCGAAGAGCTGGACCGGAGGGAGAGGGAGCTGCAGAACGCGGCCTTGAGCAGTGGAGCAGGTAAGAACGGCGTCCTTTTTCCGGATGTCCTTCCCCAAATTCACCCCCCCAAAATCCCCTCCCCACCTTTTCCTTCCTGTGTTTACAGCCAAGCCGAACAATTGGCCCCCGCTGCCTTCCTTCTGCCCCGTGAAGCCCTGTTTCTACCAGGATATTTCTGTCGAAATTCCCGTGGAGTTCCAAAAAACGGTCACCATCATGTACTACCTTTGGATGGGTAAGCAATCTCCAGCCTTTTTTAAAAATATATATATATCTATATCTATTTGTTTTCTGAGGTTCTCGCGGGTATTTGTATGTGGATCTTTGGTTATTCTCGCACAGAGCTGAAGACAGAAGCCTGAAGATGATGAATGAGACTTCATCGAAACGTCGCCTAGATACTTCCAATCTTACGCGGGAGAAAACCCGAATAACCAAAGATCCACATCTATATGTATATATATGTGTATATATATGTTTATGTATATGTATATATTTTACGTACGTGCGGGCAAGTCCTTGACTTACGGCAGTTCGTTTTTAGTGACCGTGTTTGCAGTTACGACGGCACCGAACAAAAAGGGACTTAGGGCCGTGGTTTGCGCTGACTTATTCCCCACAGTCACAGCGATCAAAATTTTAGACGCTGTCAGGATTCCGGCAATTGCCCTGAATTAAATCATGAGCCTCGAGCCAAACTTCCAAAATTTAAAGAGGAATTTATTGGGAGTTCACATGCCGGCACTGCCTGGGTGTAGCTGACTCTGAGGCACATCATTCACTGCCACCCTTGACCCTGGTTTTCTCCCCCACCCCTCTGGGTGTATCCTAATTCATATTCTCCAATGGGACCCATCCATAGCCCAGAGTCATCAGTCAGGCTCTCCAGTTAGAATTTTGCATGGCAGAAACTTCAGTCACCTCGTTACCTATCTTTGGAAAACTATTTATGGAATGCGCTTTCGGTTTCCAAGGTGCCGCACTGCTCTTTCAACCCCCTTTCGGTTGGCAACTCTAAAACAACCACGGAAATATTTCATGAGTTGACACAGTTGCTGATCTGTGTGTTTTTCTGGTGTGCTATTTTATTATTTTAATTTCCATTGAATTTTTGACAGCCAGCACGGTGGGCCTTTTCATCAACTTCCTGGCCTCGCTGATCTGGTTCTGCGTGGATTCCACGGGCGGTTCCGGATTCGGCCTCTCCATCCTCTGGGCCTTGATTTTCACGCCTTGCTCCTTCATGTGCTGGTACCGGCCCATGTACAAAGCTTTCCGGTACGTCGGCGTCGCGTCGCTCTTACTTGGGGGTAGGAATCAGCCGTGGCTTAGATCAAGCTTTTAAGAGAAAGGGGGGAAACGAGGTGGCAAACTAGAACTCGCCAGGAGACAAGAGAGTTCTAGTCCTGCATTAGGCACAAAAAGCCGGCTGGGTGACTTTGGCACAATTACCGGGAGACGGAGAGTTCTAGTCCTGCATTAGACGCAAAAAGCGGGCTGGGAGAATTTAGGCTAATCCCTGGGAGACAGTGATTTCTAGTCCCTCCTTAGACATGGAAAATAGTTGGGTGACTTTGGGACAATTACCAGGAGACGCTGAGTTCTAGTTCTACTTTAGACACAAAAGCCAGCTAGGTGACTTTGGACCAGGCTGTGAGTGCTAGTTCTAGACCTGAAAACCAACTTGGTTGACTTCGAGCCAGTCCCCGCCTTCTCCACTCAACCCTGTGTGGTGGTGATGAAAATCGGTGTGTTATTGTTGATGTTCACCGTCTTGAATTATTTGTAGACATAGTAAAAGCGCGGCGCAAATAAACTAAAAAATAAAATACGGGCGAGCAATGTTTGTTTTCCTCCATATCTCTCCCTCTCTCTTTCTCTCTCTCTCTCTCTCTCCCTCCCTCTCTCCCTCCCTCCTTCGATGGCAGGAGTGACAGCTCTTTCAATTTCTTCGTCTTCTTCTTCATCTTCTTCGCCCAAAACGTGATGTACGTCCTGCAGGCCGTTGGGATTCCCGGTTGGGGCTTCAGGTAAGGGACGGATCCTAAAACGGAATCTGGTCAGGGGGGTCGGCGCCCAGATCCGAGGGGCATCTTTGCTTCTCAGCTCCCAAATTTCGATAGCAAGCAGATCCAGCAGTGGCTTGTCCAACGGTGGCACGGCCCTGTTTTCCTTTCTTGAAGTTTTTGATTTCCTCTGTTTTCCTGTCCCGCAGCGGTTGGATTATCACCTTCAGCGCCCTGAGCAGTCACCCAGGGGTGGGCATTTTCATGATCCTTGTCTCCGTGTTGTTCACCATAATTGCTGGGCTGGGCATCATCATGTTGAAACGGGTGAGTAGAGCAGAAAGCAGAGGTAGTCCTTGTCGCGTGACCACAACAGGGCTCTGAATTTCCGCGGCTAAGCACAAACTCCGGTGAAGTGAACGTCGCCTTAGTTTATGGCTTTTCTGGCCACGTCTCTGAAGTGAACTGCGTGTCAACTCATAAAATATTTCTCTGGTCTTTTTAGAGTTGCCAACAGAAAGGGAGGGGGGAGCAGTGTGGGCAGCTTGCAAACCGAAAGCGCATTCCATAAACGTTTTCAAAGATAGTAACTAGGTGACTGGAGATTCTGCCGTGCAAAATTCTAACTGGAGAGCATGATTGATGGCTCTGGGCTATGGAGGTGTCCCATTGGAGAATATGAATTATGATACACCTGGGGGTGGGGGGAAAACCAGGGTCAAGGGAGACAATGAATGACGTGTTTCAGAGTCGGTTGCACCCAAGCAGTGCCGGCATGGTTACTCCTAATCCTTTTGAAGTTTTGGAAGTTTGGCTCAAGACTCAGGATTTAAATGGAGGGTAACTGCTGGAATCGGACACCGCGGCTGTTAGTTAAGTTAGTCAGACAGCTGTTCGATGAATCCAGCTCGTCAGAAGGCCACAAAAGGGGATCCCGCGACTCCGGGAACTCTGCCACCGTCGTAAATGTGAGTCCGTTGCGTGTCCAGCACCACCATCTCCCCCGGCTGACCTTTCTTCTCTTCTCCCACAGATCCACTCCCTTTACCGCCGCACAGGCGCCAGCTTCCAAAAGGCCCAGGCCGAATTCACCGCCGGCGTTTTGTCCAACCAGACGGTCCGCACGGCCGCAGCCAACGCCGCAGCTGGGGCGGCCTCCAACGCTTTCCAGGCCCCGTGAAAGGAACTGTGACCTGCAGGTTGTCATCCGTCGGCTGACTTCTCCGGACTCCTTCACCGAAACGAACCTCCCTATCCCCTCAAAATGCACGGCCTTGAAAATCCCTCCTGTCCCCTCCCCCTGAAATCACCACGTTTGTGCTGATTTCAAGTCTGGGATCTCGGCAGGGAAACCCGCGACGGATCCACCACCACCCACACTCCGGCTGCACTGAACTCTGAAGATCACGATTCCTCCCTGAACACGGCTTGAATCTTCCCTCCTTCCGCCTGAAAATTTACAGAGGATCCAGCCACTTATGTATTTCTGCTTGTGACTTCTCCGATTTGCCCAAACCGGAAAGAACAGGGGCCTTTTCCTTCCTGCTCGTGTGCCCCCTCCCCACCCCCCCACCCCAAAAAAATATTTGGCTTTTCTCTTTCGCCTTCAATCCTGTGGGGAGCTGATCCTCCCCAAATTAATTTTAAGTTTCCTTTCATCTCCCTGCTGCAGAAAGTCCCCTATTTTCTGCAAATTTGCTAAGCCCAACATGCCCCTCCACCGTTCGTACGTTCCTCCTATTTAAGGCGTTTTTTTTTCTTCTCACCCTTAAGCATCTTTTAAGAAGCGTGGACTTCCAACTCCCAGAGTTGCCCCAGGCTGGCTGGGGAATTCTGGGAGTTGAAGTCTCCACATGCCCTTTTAAAATCCCCACCCCCTCAAGAGACACCGCGAAAGTGAATCCATCCGTAGAATTCTGCTCGATGTCCGTCGAAATGAAGACGGCCTTTTCAAGTTTTTTTTTTTCTTCTTACGCTACCCTAAGCCGTGGGTTTTCCAAACTCGGTCAACTTTTAAAAGCGTGTGGACTTCAACTCCCAGGATGCTCCCTGGCTGGCTGGGAATTCTGGGAGTTGAAGTCCTACCTTCTTCAAAGTTGCTTAAATTGAAAAAAATTGCTTTTATTTTTTTATTTTTTCTCTCTTTTATTTTGATCTCTCCCGCCAGTGCTGGCCGCTGGGAGGTGAATTCCCTTTAAAAAAAAAAATCATTTTATTAGCAACGGGAATAATTTTATTTGGCTCAAAAGCTACCCCTGGCCTCTTAAGATCGCTTTTTCGGCCTCTGTGGTGCCTTCTTTTTAGTTACTGATCTTTTTGAGTTCTTTTTCTTCCAAGTTCACACGCCGCCCACTGTCGGAGTTAAAAGGGCTGTTTTTTTTTTTGCGGATGAATAAATTCTCCAATCACCCCAAAATTTGAGAATTGGGATATCAGAAGCAACCTGAAATCTTTCATCTTTGACTGCTTCTCTTTTTTCAGCGCCTGTCAGAAGGGAGGGGACGCAGGACTGATGGAGGCTCCCCGCTTTAATTTTGGCCACGTTTTGGGGTCCTTTGATGTGTTCATCATTTGGGGGACGTCTCCCCCAATGTATAGTTCTCCGCAGTGTCTCTTTTGCTGTGTCTGTGAATTCCTCTACATTTCTACATCCTCTTTATTTGACTTGCTTGGCCCCCAAACCTAACTGGTAGCCCCTCTCGTCTCCCCTTTGTTGGTATCTGAAATTTCAGACCCTCCCCAAAGTTTTCCCATGTCTCCCCCTCTTCTTCGAACTCTGTCTCCTTCCAAGGATTCGCGTCCCCCGTCTGTAAATGTGCAAAAATATGATAATTCCGTTTCCCCTATGCATCTCACCGTTTATTATTATTATTAATATTATTATTTTTTTGCTGTGTCAAGCGCGAGACAAGAGTATGGAATTTTATTTAAGGAATAAAACTACATTTTATCTCCGTGGTTTTCAGCCAGCCGTGGTTTTCCTGGGGAAAAGATGGCTTCTAGTGGGTCAGAAATCTTCCCCAAGGGTTTATCTGGTTTTAATGGGAAGGAGCTGCTTGGAGGGCCATGCTGTTGTGCTCTGCTGGAGGCCTGCAGAGCTGGCAGCAGAGTTGGACAGTGGGGAGGGACATGGGCCGGTCCTGGAGTCTGGGGAGGGCTCGGACGAGGGTCCTGCGTCCGACACAGAGATGGAACCAGGGCCATCTGGGAGTTATGTGCCGATTCCGGAGCCTCCAGAATCTGACAGCAGCGAGGCAGAGGAACAGCGGGAGCCTGTTCCCAGTGTGCACATGCGCAGAGCTGTCAGAAGGCAAGAACAGTTAAGACAAAAGGGGCGACTCGGGAGTAAGGCTTAGAGGTGATTGGCCCTCCCATAAGACATAAAGGAGGAACAAAGGGACAGGAGCCTTTGCAGGAAGCAACTTTTCGTTCTGGTGGGTTTAAACTCTGTGCTCCATTTGGCCTTGCACAGCCAATTGGCAATTTAGTTGTTAGCAGCATTTCAAGGGAGATAAAGGTGGGTGCTTATCAGCTTTATCCCGAAGGACTGTGGCCGACTTCCGTTGGACTATTCACAAACTGGGACTCATTACGGCTGTGAATGCATGTAATTCACAGCCGTTGAAATAAAAAAAAAAGGGGGTTTCGGGACTTAAGTGTGTGATTGGTTACTGTCTTAGGAAGCCTTGGTGACAACAGAGGCACGGGAAAGTCAGCCCAAGTTTTGATTCAAAGAAGCCTTCAAATCTCAACATTTCCCCCACCTGTGCAGGTAATCCTTGATTTACAACCATGTTTAAGCTCGGAGTTCAATTATGGTTGTAAGTCAAGGACCATCTGGCTAATGAAACGTTGGCAAACCAACAACTATTTTTTTTAACAGATTAGCAGAGTTGAAAAGGACCTTGTAGGTCATCTAGTCCAGCCCCCTGCCCAGGTAGGAGACCCTACGCCGTTTCTGACAACTTCAGGGAGTACCAAGATGTTCACCAATTAAAATGCTTTTTCTCAATATTCAAATTTCAAACAAATTTGACTGAAACCCAGTTTTCTGCACTTCAACTCTAGAGTAACAAAACAGGCTGGGTTGTTACAGAAAGGCACACCCCTCTCCCGAGTAATCTAGGCTAAAACTTAGTTAACCAAGTCGTGCAAATGCATCGCCAAAACTTTTTACTAACATAGTTAAAAATACTGTGCTGGATGGGGCTTGCAGGAAGCTGGCTAGTCCACCAGAGGGCGCTGATGTTTAGATCCAGGATTGCAAGGGAATTAATTAATTAATTAAGAAAAACATCCCCCCCCCAAATAATGATAATTTAGGATTATTATAAATTTACATTGCTTTTCTTACAATGTTCCATCAATGTGTGAATAATTCATGGTTACGATTTATGTGACGGCATAGCTCCCAAATAACCAGGTCAACCGAATGGATGGTTAAAAATAAAAATAAAAAACCCCAGTTTTTCTTAATTCTGGATTTTAGTGAACAAAAAGTTAGTTTGGCTAAAAAATATATATAATTTGGAGTAGGGGGAATGAGGATGAAAAGGTGGCATCTCCAGCGAGGCTTCATCCATTAGTGTTAAGCATAATTTTGTTCTTTGCTTTTTAAAAGAGACTTGTAACGTAGCCAAGATGAATGGGGAGTAAATTTTCTCCTGATTTTAGCATGTTTTTTTTTATTTTGCTTTTTTTCACGGCTGTGTTGATTGTTCGCAAGTTAGGGCTGATGGGGAAAGAAAATGACCTTAGCAGTTAGGTAGCTAAAGTATTGCTAATAGGAAGAGGGAGAAAAAGACCCATTTACCAGACACAAAAAAACAATTTTTGTTGCCGATAGGAATAAAACGCAGCTTCGTCGCGAATTAGAAGCCACCGCTTTACAACGTGACATTTCGGAGAAATTAAAAGTGAAGGGAAATGTTGGTTTTTAGGAGCTCGGGATGATTGTAAAAAGAAAGTGGCTTTTTGCTGGGGCCTGTTTGAAATTCCCATCAGCTAGAATTTAGCCGCAGAGTCGAAAAGATTGCAAAAATTGGCAATGGATCTCATTCCATTAGCAAAGAGATCTCACGGGAAACATTTTCCCAGCTGGCTTCTATCCTGTATGGCTCCTGATGGATCAAAGCATCTACTCAAAACATTTTGTGTCCAGGCGTAACCAAAGGATGCTAATTGGATCCCTCTAGAGGAGGGAGGGAGGGAGGGAGAAAGAGAGGGAGAGAGATGGAGAGTTATAGAGAGATGGAGAGAGAGAGAGATGGAGAGAGAGAGAGAGAGAGAGATGAAGAGAGAGGGAGGAAGGGAGAAGGAGAGAGATGGAGAGCTATGGAGAGCTAAATGGAGAGATGGAGAGAGCTAGTAGAGAGATGGAGGGAGATGGAGAGAGAGATGGAGAAAGATGGAGAGATGGAGAAAGATGGAGGGATGGAGAGAGAGAGATGGAGAGAGAGGGAGGGAGGGAGAGAGGGAGAAGGAGAGAGATGGAGAGCTATGGAGAGCTAAATGAAGAGATGGAGGGAGATGGAGAAAGATGGAGAGAGAGATGGAGAGAGAGATGGAGAGAGATGAAGAGAGAGGTGGAGAGAGAGATGGAGAGAAAGAGATGGAGAGAGAGAGATGGATATAGATAGATAGATAGATAGATAGATAGATAGATGATAGATAGATAGATAATTTGCAGATAGACTGCCTCCGTCTAGGGAGGGTTGCCAAAGCCTCTGCGAGCAGAAATTAGGTGAACAGCGTTTTATTTTTTCAGATGCTAAATGGACTCCGGAGGCACGAATCCGTTGTAAAAGTTTTTTTTTTTAAAGTACTTGTTGCAAAATTTGAAGACTTAACAAGGAGACAAGATTGCAAACCAGATCTGAATTTTTCAGCAGTTCGAAAATGGGTTCCAGAGGCCTGAATGGTTTTTTTACTTGGTTTTTTTTTAAAAAAAATAATTTTTAAAGGCATCGTTGCGAAATGATGGAATTCGAACCAAAAACGAGAAGACGGAGACGAGATTTGCAGAGCAGGTCTGAATTTTTTTTCCCCAGTGTTTTTCAGATGCTTGGTCGGGGCTCCAAAGGGCCCCCAAAACAATTAGAAAAGCTGTTTTTTTTTGTTTTGTTTTCTTAAAAAAGGAATTGTTGCAAAATTTGAAGAATCGGAACCGGGAGGAAGCAAGATTGCAAAAAGCAGACTAAAAACAAAAACAAAAAACCAGGGAAAAAGCACGTAAAAACCACCCACCTACCCACCTACCTCTGTGGGGGGGGGGGGGGGGGACCAATTTTTTCTCTTTCCCCCCCCCCCATCCCATCCCAGTTCTGCCCTGTTTTGTGAAACAGGCTGGAACGGCGTCCAATTTCAGGATTCTGGCTGGAAAACTACAGCTCCCAAGATGCAGCAGGGTAGTCTGTGTGAGTGTGTGTGTGTGTGTGTGTTTAAAAATTATTATTTTTTCCCCCCCTTTCCCCTCCCTGCAGCATCAGGACCGGGCTGGCGAAGGATGCAGGCACTTAGCGGAAAGGGAGGCGGAGCTTAAGGGCATCCCTGGCTTGGAGCGGTCCTGCAGCCGAGCAAAATGACTCCTCGCCTTCTCGGTAAGGCTGCACCTGATTTTTAACTCCTCTTTGGGGCCCAGGAGAAAAAAAGGGGGGGAGGACGGAGGGGGTGGGTGGAAATTGATTTTTTCAGGGGGGGAGAGGCTGCAGGGGGGAGCTTGGGGGGACCCTTCATGGGGTGGTGGGGGGGAGCACCCAGGCTAAGGTTTTGCTGCAAATTCAGGGTTGGGCTGGCTGAATTTTTTAAGTTTTTAAGGAAGAAGCTGTGACATTCCCCTCCCTTCCCATTCTCCAAACTAGAGAGAGAGAGAAATTGGGCCTTTTCTCTCTGGGATTTATTTATTTTTTTATCTCCAGGACTCCCAACAGGGATTGGGGTTCAGGGTGCCCCAATTCCAGACCTCTCCTCCTCCCCCCATGAAAAAGCCCTCTTTGAAAGCATCCCTCCTCCCAGGAGTGGGGGGGGGAAAGAGTGGAGCAGGCTTCACCAGATGGTGAAATAAATAAATCTGGACCGCAAACTTTCCCGGGGTGACAACACACACAAATGGGGGATTTGCACTGCCCTGACAGCCCTCGGAGTTTCCTGCCATAGCTTTCTCCACTCCCTGTTCCCTCCCCCCTCCCCCAAATCCTCCCCCAGACACTGTGTGGATGACAGATGTTTTTTTCCAGCTGTGGGGAGGAGGAAGAGGAAGGAGAAGGTGTGAAGAAGGAGCTACGGAGAGGAAAGGAAAGAGGAAGAGAAGGAGTGATGGAGAAGGAAGAGGAGGGGGAAAGGATGGATGAATGGAAGGGAGGAAGGAAGGAAGATCAGAATGAAAAGGAAGGAAGGAAGAACGAAGGAGA